CACACACACACACACACACACACACACACGCTCAGATCACACGCACCCGAGCATTTCAACAAGGACATAATAACTTGGGCACAGCAGCACCGCACCGCCAGCCTGGTTCGTGAATCCCTTTCTCACCCTTCTCAATGACAACACAGTTTCCTCAGCACTGTGTTACACAGAATGTTGTTGAGAGAGAGAGTACAGAGTACAGAGCAGAGCCAGCCTGCTATATCATGTAGCTGTGTGTTTTTCACGGTTAACTACGTTGTGTTTCGACAGATTCTAGTTGTTTGGTACATGCGTATAATACATTAGTCTATCTGCTACACTACTACAGTGCTTGACTACTCCTCCTTTACACATTACACAGTATGTTTGTATAAGTGTTTGTTTTTGTGTGTACGTGTATGTGTGTGCGTGTGTGTGTGTGTGTGTGTGTGTATGCTTGTGTGCCTGCGTGCGTGCGTGCGTGCATGCGTGCTTGTGTATTTATTCTTAGTACCATGTATATTAATAGTTCCTTGCAATTGGATTGTTGGCGGGTGCTCCGGTGTGGTTTGCTCCTTATTTCCTATCAAACATCTATCATCCTGATCTTTCCTCCTTTTTTTTTTTGTTTGTTACTCCCTTGTAGCACATCTAATCTTAGGCACTTATATTATGACCGTATTGTGTTGCAAGTGCCGTAAAACTAAAACAGTTCCTTGCAAACATTGCCGCTTGTACGTTTGTTTGCACTCTTTTTTGTGCTGATATCGTTGTACGTATTGTTGCTGATTCAGTAGATGCTACTGTTAGTCCTGTGAGCGCTATTGTTCCTCTTGGCATTGTACTGAAGTTGCTTTTGTAGTGGCTGTAGTTGTTATATGTTGCAGGACTGGGCTGAAGCCAACAATCCATGTAATGCAGTGGGTTTTTTTGTTTATGTTTTGATTGTTGTTTTCGTTGCATCGTGTTGTTGTTTGTTTGTTGTTTGTTGTTGTTTTTGTTTTTTTATTATTTGTTTGTTTGTTGTTGTTGTTGATTTGTTGTTGTTGTTGTTTTTGTTGTTTTTTTTTGGGGGGGGGGTGTTAATCCTGCCCGGTTTTGTAACGCAGTTTTTGTTTTGTTTGTTTGTTGTTGTTTTTGTTTTTTTTGGGGGGGGATTCAAAGAGGTAGATCTAAGTCTAAGTATCTGAACGGAGTTGTTGATGCTCACGAAAGCAGAGTATGAATTAATTAAATGTTGCTTAGGCATGAAGAGAAACAGGAAGAGTTAAGTGGCTTAAGTGTTTGTTTTTGTTAGGATGCAAACGGATGTCATGCAATGTACTGGCTGATGTAATTGGAGACGAATAAACTGGAAGGTTGCGTTGCTTTATTTATTTGACACAGTGGAAAAGAATTGCCACAATGTGTGTGTGTGTGTGTGTGTGTATGTAGGGGGGTGGGGTATGAGAGAGAGAGAGAGAGAGAGAGAGA